GAAGGAAGGAAGGAAGGAAGGAAGGAAGGAAGGAAGGAAGGAAGGAAGGAAGGAAGACAGGCAAGCAACAACTTTAAACCTTTCATGAGTTTCTTACTAATGGAAGACTCGTGGTCATTTCTAGTTCTTCCAGAGCACCATCCTGTTCAAGAGAACTGGAGAGTCACGGTTGTTGTTGCGGTTGTTGTTGCTGTCCTCGGCGCGGTTCTTCCTCTGATCATCTATTTCCTATGTAGCTGCTGGTCGTGGCGAAAAGATGCTAGAAGAAGCAGGAGCCGCGTGGCATCTGTCTCTTAGAAAGGTGATGAGTGTCTTTATCCTGTCTGACAATCACCGCTGTAAACTTTGTCTTTAAAGAGCCCACAAGATGAGGAGGCAGTTCGTCAGTGCAGTGTTGCATGGCATGTGCAAGCCAAGTCCAGTCTCCAGTACCGAAGAAGGTGTTTTGACGCGAGACTATGAAACCACTCACATTTGCATATGCTGTACCTTGCATACATTCAGCGCCCCATTGCCATCTCCTGCTCCTCCCTCTCCCTCCCTCACACCAGTGACCCTCTTCCTCCCTGATAATCCCCCTCCTACTCTCAGGAAGTAGATGATTGATCAGTCTAGATGCTGCATGACAGAAAACACGTTACAGCCGTCTTTCTGGGTCTTGGTTTGCTTAGCACGATGATCTCTAGTCATTTACTTTAGGACGACATAATTTTGTTCTTAACAATGGTTCAATAAAATTTTGTAGTGCATATATATATGTAGGTATGTACGTACCCCCTGTTCTTTTTACTTACTTATCTGTTGATGGCTCTGTATTTTGGCTACTGTGAATAATGAAATAATAAACATGGTCTATATGTCAATATCTTTGTGGTATGCAGACTTAGATTTTTTTTTTTTTTTTTTTTTTTTTTTTTTTTTTTTTTTTTTTTTTTTGGTTATAGACACAGGAATAGCATAGCTGTGTCACCTGGCAGTTCTACTAGTGGACACCCTAACTTGCATTCTGCAGTGTATAAACCTTCTTTTTCCTTGCATTCTTTCTGCCATTCCCCCCCCCCCATGATAGCCATTCTTGACTAAGGTGCCACAGAATCTCACTGTAGTTTTGACTTGTATTTCCTTAACGACTAAGAATGTTAAGTAGTGGGGCGGGGGGGAGGTGTTATTTATTGGCCATTAGTTCTTTGAGAAGTGACTGTCTAATTCATTTACTAATTGGGAACTTTGGGGTTTCTTTTGTGTTTAGATTTTTTACTGTTTATTTATTTTTTGAAAATTTCCCACAGGTATACAGTACAATTTCTCAATCATAATCACTCCTCCTTCGGTTCTCCTAGACCTTCTCCCAACGTCCCCCCAAATATCTGTTCTTTTATAATTTACTTAGTTAACCCATTGAGTCCAACTAGAGGTGCCCAATCCACACTGTTAAAGTTAAATAAATCTCCTTCCCCAGCAGCCACAACTGTAAATAGCTTCTCAAGTAGGGTGGGGCCTCACAAGCCCTTCCCCATCAGTGATGGAAATTTTGACAGGTTTGCTCTTGTATAGATCTTCTGTAGGTCACCACAGCCATGAGTTCATATGTGCAACAGCCATGACCTGTCCAGAAAACAGCATTTCACAGCCGTCCTCCCCATGCTCTGGCTCTTACAGTCTTTGTTTGTTTGTTTGTTTGTTTGTTTGTTTGTTTGTTTGTTTTCAAGGCAGGGCTTCTCTGTGTACCCTTGGGTGTCCTGGACTCTTCTTGTAGACCAGGCTGGTCTTGAACACACAGTGAGCCTCGTGCCTCTGCCTCCCTGAGTGCTGGGATCACAGGCGTGTGCTATCGCCCCTGGCTAGCTCTTACATTCTTTCTGTCCCGTCTCTTGTGGAGTTCCCTGATCCTTGGGGTGTGGGTGGGGTGGCAGGTATAGATGTGTCATTGGTGGCTAAACATTCACTCATTTTTAGCACTTTGAACAACAATTTGTCTCTGCGTTAACCACTACCCACCCCAATTTAAAAACAAAAAGCAGACTTCTCTGGCCAAAGTTGGGAGCAACATAAATCTATAGATGTAAATACAAATATTTAGAAAGCAGTTTGATAACATAACCATTTAAAAGAACATCAATAGATTCTCCCCTAGGATCTGTGCTCCCCCTTCATCTCTGTTTATAGTTCCAGACATGAATTTACCCATGTAAAGCAGGCCTCAAATTCAATTAAGAGATCAGTTGGTAATCTCCATTAACCAACTTGTTACAGTTGGTGCTGGTGGGCATATTTGGTCTGAAAAGTGGGTCTTATAGAATGCAGGGATCAGTAATAGATAAGACCATTGATGACTTTCTCCCTAGTCAGCTTCATAGCACCTTCTAACACTATGAAAGCAGTCTGGCAGGTAGAGAGTTTCCTGAGCAGTTCAAGATTGACTTCTCTGTGTCTTGAAACCAAAGCATGGTTGGTTCTTTGCCGGAGCCCACCGGCAGAGTCAAACAGTACCTGAGTGGGGAGTGAGGATTGAAATAATTAAAGCAAGTCACACTACACACGAGATCAAGACTGCAGATGCGAGTTTATTCCACAATTCTTTTTTTTTTTTTATAGGCAAAGCAAAACAAGTCACAGTAATACAAAAAAAAAAAAAAAAAGTTTATGGAATTGCCAGACTTGTTTTCTTAAAACACTTCCCTCTAATAGATATGGTTCCAGGTCACACAAACAAGCTTAAGGAACTTGGCGAAACATCCTGCTTGTCTTTGTCTCAAGGTGAAGGCCAGGGTGAAAACATGTTTTTCCACTGAATACTCAATAACAAAGCAGCTTGACAAACAAGCAGCTCTCCACAGTTCTTCATCAATAGAGCCTTCCCATCCAGTTCGGAGGAGCAAGAGCAATAACCTGTGTTATTTTGGATGTTCCTGGGCCTCTCCGACAAATCTCCCAAGTCATCATTCCGTTGTCTGCTTCACTGTCCAGAAGCCTTTTTTGTGTGTAGTTCCATAAGTCAAGTCTTGCTGTGATCTCCTGAGTCAGAGGAGTCCTTTTAAAAGTCTTTGCCCAGGCCTTATCCTGGGTGTCTACCCTGTGTTTTCCTCTAAAGTGTCAGACATGGCAGTTTGTCTGAATTAAGCTTTTTACCCGTTTTAAATAAAGTTTTCTTTACAAGGTGAAAAAGTAGAGATCTAGTTGTAGTCAATGTGTAGGTATCTAGTTCTCTGGGCATCATTTATTCCCCTTAAAACAAACCTGTAGCTGCATGAGCTAATGATTTCTGAGTCCTCTATTCTGTCCCATTAGCCTACCTGTCTAGTTTTGTGCTGGTATCACACTGTTTCTGTAAATGTGGCTATGCAGCATGATTTGAGATCAGATATTGTGATATGTTTCAGCTATTTAGGGTCTTTTTCTTCTATATCACTTTTACAAATGCTTTTTCTATTTATGTGAGAATGTCATTGGAGTTTTAGTGAGATTGCTTTTGATAATATAACCATTTTTCATGATATTTCTGCTCATGTGTGAGCATGAAAAGTCTTTCCTTCTTCTAGTATCTCCTTTAATTTCTTTCTTTCTTCAGTGCTTTAATGTTCTAATTTTGAGTTAAACTAATGCCTCGGTTTGTCATTGTGGTTTTGTGGTTGTTGTCTTTTGTTTTTGTTTTTGCTATGGTCAGTTGAACTCACCATGTAGACCAGGCAGGCAAAGTCACAGAGATCTGCCTGCCTCTGCCTCCCAAGTGTTGGGATTAAAGGCGTGATGCCTGTCATGCCAGGCAAGACAGCCTCTTTTTTGTTTTCCCACCATACATGCCAGGCTAGCTGGCCCACGGACCTATGAGGACCCTGTCTCCAGGCTAGCTGGCAGCTCCCCACAGAAGCGTTGCAATCACAGGTGTTCCTGCTACACATCTGTGTTTTACCTGGGTCCTATGGTACTTACACAGCAAGCACTTTCACACATTGCCCCATCCCCCTAGCCTCCCAGGCTCCTTCTTAGGCCTTATCTACCTAGTACAGTCTGGTGGCTTTCTAATGGACTTTTACATTTTGGTTCATTGGATTTTCATTTCCAGCATTTCTGTTCTGTTTTCCTCTCTCAGAATCTGTTTGTTTGTTGACTTTCTCATGTATGTGGTTGACTTTCTTATTCACATCTGAATTGATCTCCTTAAATCATTTGTTTAGTTGTGTATGCTCCCTTAGAGGTCACTTATCATTTTTATAAGTAGGATTTTCAAATATTTGCCAAGCCATCCCAAAATCTTTGTGTTCCCAAGATAACGAGTTATGATCTTTTGGAGGCACCATGCTACCTTGTTTTGAGGTATTTCTTTTGCTTCTGTCTGTGCTGTACCATCCACTAGGGTGTACATCATTTCTGTTTTTTTTTTTTTTAATTTGGGTATCCGCTTATTGAGCAGCTTTCTTTCAAAAGCTCAGTCTCTAATAGCACTTTTGGAATTAGCCACGGGAGTAGAAGCAATCTCTAGATGTGAGTGAGCAGTTCCCTAAGTTTCCTTTCACAGGAAAGGAACTTGCAACTGAAACAAAGGAGAGATGGAGCAAAAATGAAAAACAAAAATTTAAAAAATTTTTTAAAAAGCTGGTTTCCCCATAAGGCAACCAAAACTGTTTAAGACTAGACAAGGAAGTCAAGAAGGATATGTGTACGTGCAAGAAAGAACCTAGAAGGGCATTTAGAGACGCTAAATGACTGTTGAAGCTGGCCGCACTATACTATGTCATCAAAAGACAGAAAACAGGAAAGCGTAGCACATCGATGCCCCCCCAGAAGATTGTGATAAAATTATTGATAGCAAAAAGTTATGTGGTCAGACAGTGAGACATGGCAGTGAGTTTGCTCAAAGAAAGGATTCTTGAAGCTCCGAGGTAGAGTCATACCATGAATTAACAAACTATGTAGATATAAGAGGCTCATGAACTTGAGTTCTGTGACTTCTGTAGCAATTTTCCTTGGTTTGTATAGCTTCCAGACTTATGTGGATAAGTACTTATCCAGACTGTGTGATAAGTAAAATACTGCCCCTTTCAAAACTTCTACTTCCTACACCTCAAACTTTGTTATCTTAAAAAAATGTTTGTTTATTTTTATTTTATGTGTGTGAGCATTTTGCATACATGTCCGTATGTACATGGCATACCTGCCTGGTACCTTAGAGACCAAAAGAAGGTGCCAGATCTCCTGGAACTAGAGTTACATCATGTAGCTGTAAGCTGCCTTGTGGGTGCTGGGAACTGAACCAGGGTCCTCCTCCAAAGCACCAAATGCTCTTAACTGCTGAGTCACAACTCCAGACCCTCTATATGTTATCCTAAATGGCAAAAGTTTATGCGACCTACAGAAATTTACCCAGGTAGGTTAGAAAGTTAAAAGAGGGGGAAGGCATATGAGATTTGGGGAAAAGTCAGACCATCGTTGTTGGCTTTGAACTTGGGAAAAGATGGCCGCACTATACTATGTCATCAAAAGACAGAAAACAGAAAAACGTAGCACATATGTGTCCCCCAAGAGAGTCACTTCTAGAGGCTAGAAGTGCTCCTCTTCACTTGACAGACAGCTAAGAAATGAGGAGATCTCAGAAAAAAAACCTGGGCTCAGTTGTTTGTTTGTTTTGATCTTTTGCTCTCCTTGTGGAGCTCAAGGCACCTCCAGGTCTTTCTATCTCCCCCTTCTTTCATAAGATTCCCTGCACTCTGCCCAAAGTTTGGCTATGAGTCTCAGCATCTGCTTTAATACCCTGCTGGGTAAAGTCTTTCAGAGGCCCTCTGTGGTAGGCTCCTGTCCCAATTGCTGTTTTCTCCATCTTCCGAGGT